GTGATTGCGTTCGCTAAGGCTCTGTGGACTTGGTCATGGCGCCAACGACACCGACTATCCCCTAAATCCTTGGGGCATCTGCTTAATATGACCCTCTCTTTTCAGATAGAGCACAGTTGGGTGTTTCGTTCATTCGCCATACATTCAGATTTTCTGGACTTGGGAGAACGGCGTAGACCAATTTTATTAGAAACTGAATTATTCTAAAGTCATCGCGTCAGCAATCTGTTCAATGTATCTTAACGCTGTTTAGTTCTTTCCGATTTTGTCCATTCTCCTTGTTGGCACAGCCCAGCCATACTACTTTAACGGTTTTCCACGGCACCTGATCGAACTTTATTTAGTAATAACTGGCGCCTTTCTTTACCTTGGGCCTTATCATGACGTTTACTGCGAAAGTAGCCCAGTCCTATCTCCCTTTTGGCTGTGATCCCTATTATAATAGTAATTTAATATTATTATTATTATTATTATTTATTAATTAATTAATTAAAGTAAAAATGGTATAAAACTTACTAATTTTTAAATTCAGGGGAGAATTACAAACTTTTGGCCTATAGTATACCTTCTCATATTAAGTAAAACAGTTTAATACACAAACTGATAATAAACATTTATTATTATTTTTTATTAATAATAGAAATATGGTGTTTATTATCAGTTTGTTCATTAAACTGTTTTACTTAAAGGTCGATCTAGCTCGGACATTCATGAGTCTATTACGTCAACCATCAAGGTCCTACATCAAGGTCCTGCATCAAGGTCCTGCATCAAGGTCCTGCATCAAGGTCGGTAGATCATCAGTGTGGTCTCCTGTATTATTATATAGTTGGTCAATCTAGGTGGTTGCATCATGGCAAAAAAAAAGATAAATCCCCAATCTAGAAGCTCGTTCTCGAACCTATCGGCACTTTGACTTGAAATCTCACTTTCGTACTGCTACTACTCTGACATACCCAGTCAGTCAGTTACATGCCATGCGTGATATACGCTTAGGTGATCATGTATCTTTTGATACATGACTGACGAGGCAGATTTTTTTCCCGCAGTAGGTTGCTATTTCTTTTTGCGGTAGACCTGGTACCATCCATAGAACCCGGTCTCTCTTACTACTTAACCATAGCTGGGGGAATAAGATTATGATTCATACATTTCCCAAGGCTATTAGCACGTAAGTGAATGTAATGGAATCGACTGGAATTCGAACTCGGCTCTCCGATTCCTCAATCCGAGTCGCTATCCATTACTCCCCCCTCTCATTAGGTGGCTGAGTAGTGTTCGCCGTTAAAGTATAATCATCCTCTACATCCCCATATGTTTCGCTTCATCATAAGACCAGTTGAGCTGTAACTGCGGCAGTTAAATGTAAGGTGCGAATTATTTCCCAAGCAATTTTGAAAGCTTCTCAATTTACAGTTGTTCTACCAGCCTAGAAGCTGTTTAATATATATTTTTAACCTACGTATACTCCCTGATGGATCGAGCGTGTGAGCAACGATGAGATCTTAGAGAGGTTGCAAACAAGGAGTCTTATACTTAATATCAGGAAGAGGCAGCTGTAGTTTCTGGAAAACATAATGAGGAAGGAGGGTCTGGAGAATCTGATACTCACATGTCAAATAGAGGGAAAGAGAGACAAGAAAAAACAACGCGTAACATACCTGGCGGACTTAAGAAAATGGATGACAGAATATGGTCTGTGGGAGGAAGCAGAGGGAAATAACTTATTGAGAGCTGCAAAGGATAGAGGAGGTGGAGAGCCATGATCGACTACGTCCTGAAAGGACATGTCAGATAAAAAAAAGAAAATATCCCCTATGTGGTAAAGGTAATCATTGGACTTATACTAAATCACAATTTTAATAGATAGCAGCGTTCTGATCCATCCCTTCTACCGGTAAGCTGAAGTCTAGTACACCCTATTACTGCCAGGGATAGATGGGAAATAATAGCCATGGTGAAGACAGTCCGTCATTGAGAATGAAAACTTTAATCAAACCAGGAGTAAGCTGTTTAAATCAACTGCCATTTGAATGCAGGATGGCAGTCAGGTGTAGATGATAAACTATCTATTTGGTTTTAACACTATCTTCACGGAGCTTAATATACATGTCAGTGAACATGGCCCCCGGGAAAATTGTCAATAAATCTGACACTACTATTCCCTACAGGAACAGCGAACCGTAGATGATTGCTAAGCCACTAAAAGATACACACATAAGTATCATGAATTCCAGACCCCCATTCCGTATCGCCTTTCATGCATGGTGTCCCGATCAAACAACAGAAATAAGAATATTTGCATAACTGTTAGAAAAAAATTACGAAAAGTAATTTTGGCAGTTCTATCCAGCATTCAACGGGGAACAGGGTGTCTGGAGATAGCACCGATCAAATAAACTGTCGAATGTATTAAAGAACGTGTGGACATGAAAGTGGGACTAACCTTAGCTCTCGACATAAGAGGGTTCGTTTGTGTCTGGCGTGCAGGGCAGTAATTGATCCGAAGGAAGAAACACCGCCATTACGGTGAGTCGGTCTTATGGGAAACGCGATCTCGTAGCTGCGAGGATTGGCGAGAGGTGAACTTGGCCGTATGCAAATTGGTTGGTGTTCGCTGGCATAAAGGTGACGGCGGGAGACCACTCGGGAGATCGTGTGTAGCGAACTACGAGGCGGTGTTGTTATTGAGTGCGAAGATCAGTGGAGTTTTGAGGCGATTGTTTTTTGTGTTTTTTTTGATAACTACGTTGTGTGTTTCGAACTGAGGTGTTGTTGTCTTCACCGGAAACTGTGTCCTTCTTGTCGAGAACTGAGACTGTTTGTATTTCACATAGAGTAATTCCATCGAACTGTTCAGCACTCAATGTGTTGAAGCTAAATTGTTTTGAGCAACCTGTCTTGAAATCGAGGGTTTTTTTTTTCTTCCGGAAGTAGGCGGTGCCGGGCCAACCCGTTCCCTTCCTATTGTTTGTTCCTGATTTTACTTACAGAGCGTGTTTTGTAAGATGGGCATCGTGTAGGTGAGCATTCTCTTAATTAAAGAGAAAATCAATTTCATATTACAGGAAAGGAAACAGAACGTGTTGAAAAAATGGTCAAGACATACATAACCCTACCTCCACAAACACCAAAGAGGAGAGAGAGTTGAAATTTATAGCATGCCATACCCTGATGCCAGCGATTGGGCCTATATATCATGGATGTATATACTCGGGATGCCTCTTCCGGATATGTCAGTATTATTTCCCTTTAGTAACTCAACTTTGAAAGTTTTTGTTCACCTGTGATGTGGCCAGGTATTGAACTCACACCTCTTTAGGTCCAGTCACTGGATTACTTCAATCAACGCTCGAGGACAAGGCCCAGAAGAGGCATGGCACGTGAAACTAGAACAATCTACCCTGGTGGACGAAATAATTGATTCGGTTCGAAATTCCAATCACCTGAAGAAGCCTGGAACGTACAACGGCAGAAACATCGTGAATATGCCAACAAATACGAAGATAACATTGTAATAGTGTAAATAATTACAACACCTCATCTCAGAAATAAAGTGGCAATATTGAAAAAAAGAGAAAAATATTAGAAACAGCTGACTGGTTTTCGTTCCTCTCTCATCAGATCTCGATCGAGGAACGGAAATACTGTTCACAACGACCAGAAGAGATTGATGAAGATAAAAAATGATGCTATAAACAGATCACACTTGTAGTTTAAATAAGTCTGAATTGCTACGACGTCACTTGTACAAATTAAGATACCGCTGGTTCAATTCGCCGTCCTTGCTTTCTGAACACGTCACAACGTATATGCGTCTTTCCTTCTGCCCTTTTCACTGCTTCATCCCTCTTTTATCAAGCCAACACCGCAGTCGACCAACCAATCAGCGTTCTTCGCTTTTATTTTCAGTTACACAGGTAAATAGCCTCCTCCAATTCGACCAATCAGCACACGACTTGCTATTGGTGGAAGCATGCCAAACTGTACAAAAACCCCTCATTACCGTACATACTGCTAGAATTGCTAGATGGGAGAGTAATGCCATTTTCACAGAGCAAACTTGCCTGTCACGTTAAAGTAAGACCCTTATTTTCCTATGCACCAGATGCAAGCCACTCTGGCTTGTTTGTTTCTACGGGGCTGTTCACCGCAACACTGAAATCTAACAACCATTCATTTTGTTTTCACATTGTCCCAAGAACTTTAAGATGTAAATCGGAATGCGATCTACTCGACGCAGAAAACATATCGACACGGAAAATTGATGCGCATTGCCAGTTCTTAACGAGATCTTCTGAGATTGAAGACCCGGATCACTTATGCAAATTTTCAAGTCGTTCTCTCCTAAGGCACACTGCTACATGTTGGGCACTTCTCTTTTCTAATACCTGGTTAGTCTTACCAATGCAGTCAGCCTTGCATTGGCACTTAAACTAATAAATAACGGAACGGAAAGACATGTAGGCACTTTTTATGAGTTAATATCAGCTTCTCTTCGGAAGAGAACCAGATGTGTAATTTGGCCGCAAAATAGCAATGTCTAGCGCTGGTAAATATCACACAAATCTCTCCAAATCTATAGTGATCTTAAATAAACAGGGGATTTACCCGGACCAAATAATTTCGGCTTATGAAACTCATTTTCGCTAAGACAATATTAGCTCTAAGCACTGAACAAAGTAAAGTGTGATTTGATTCTACAAGGGAACAGGTTTATGGCCATATCAAATTGAAACAATGATTCCTGTACTATCAACGAAATTAAGAAACGTCTAACTTAGTCAGTACTTATATGGGTGACCGCTTGGGAATACCAGGTGATGTAAGCTTGGATATGCGAGAAGTATAAAGGACTTACAGTTATATCACGTTGAAACAGCGGTTCTCGCATGATCACTGACGTTAAGCAACGTCGAGCCTGGTCAGTACCTACATGGGTGACTGCTTGAGAATGCCAGGCGTTGGGTGTTGTAAGCTTGGATGTGAAGATTTATGACTTACGGCCATATCACGTTGAAACACCAGTTCCCGAACGAACATCGAAGTTAAGCAACGTTGAGCCTTATCAGTACCTAGATAGGTGACCTCTATACGAATAAAATATTTATCTGCATTTAGACAAAAAATTTTCCGAGCAAAATGAACCGTTTAATTAATAAGTTCTTTTACGCCTACGTTTCTTAGATTGCAGTCTTATTTGTTCACTCTTTCATGTGAGGTACGCAGATACCTATGTCTATTAAGTGATCCAACATGGTCTTGAAATAGGCTTGTTGTCGCTGATTTTGTCATTTGTTGCTAAACTTTTTTCTTCAGAGATATTTCCATTTCAGTTTTATAATAAATACATAACATTTTTACCATGAAATATATTTAAAAAACAGTTTATATAATACGATAAGTAATCAATGAATCATAGATACCGTCTAAAGAATATAAAGGAAACTGATTAATGAAACTCTTCATTGACCTTTATTTTATTTGTCAATTCCGCTTTATTGAATCCCAAAGGACGGAGTGCATGGTCATCAGTAAGAAGATGAGCCCGAAATGCGATCTGAAGGTCTGGAACTCTAGAATCAAGCAGACACGGAAATTTCAATACCTGGGAAACGTTTTGACAGAGGACGATAAGTGCGACATTGAAATCCGTTGACGTACTGGGTTGGCCAAGAACACATTCCAAAAACTGGGCAGAATACTGCAAAACAGGAGGATATCTTTTGGTAATAAACAAAAGAATACCGAACTGTTACGTGACATCTGTCCTTTTTTACGGCAGCAAATGTTGGACGATTCTCTCAAAAATGAAGAAGAGATTCGAGGCGACAGAGATGTGGTTCTACAGAAGGATGCTAAGTATATCATGGACCGAGCGTGTGAGCAACGATGAGATCTTAAAGAGGTTGCAAACAAAGAGGAGACTTATGCTTAATATCAGGAAGAGACAGGTGAAGTTTCTGGGACAAATTATGAGAAAGGAGGGCCTGGAGAATCTGATACTCACGGGTCGAATAGAAGGGAAGAGAGACAAGGGAAAACAACGAGTGATATACCTGGCGGGCTTAAGCAAGTGGTTGACAGAACGTGATCTGGGGGAGGAAGCAGAGGGAAGAAACTTGTTGAGAGCTGCAAGGGATAGAGGGAGGTGGAGAGCCATGATCGTCTACGTCCTGAAAGGTCACGGCGCATAAAAAGAAAGAAAGAATACATTTTATCAAGACTTACAAATTTTGTCTTTCATTGCATCTCATTATTAAAACTTAGAATTGTTTTCATTTTTGATGGCACGTGTACACCAGTAAATACACACACACGCACACACACACAGAGACAGAGAAGTCGAGATTGAAATAAACTCAAGACCTAACAGACACTCCCTCTGTTTAGAGAGGGAGGACTGTCTGGACCTGACATAAATTGTTTCTAATGCCTTCAAATATGAAAGAGCCAGTGCTGAAATTAATGGCACAAATTGGACCTTTTGTAAAGTGATCCATAATGGCAGAACCATACGTACAGTTGCCAACGTCACTCAATTGGAATATACCTAATAGTACTAATTTACTTAGGTACGTGCTGATGCATTCTAGTGATAAGACGTAGTGAACAGCTCTTCAGTAAAAATGAATGGAGCACTTCGGCTGATTGGCATTTGTTTACATTCGCAAAAACAATACGCTAAATTTAGCTGTGCAACTCTGCCGAGTGAAGATAGCTCAGTGGTAGAAGCTCTGACTGAGTTTCGATCCTAGCTTGAGGCATTCGGATGTCTAGTCGCACTGTGATACAGCGAAACAGTATTGTCGGCGAATGACATATATATATATATATATATAATCGACTCTCCCGTCGAGATTCGACGTATGAGGGTCAAGCAGATCAGTTTCCAGGAAACCGACAGCCCGACACAGGCACATGAGATTTGATTATAGTGGTGAAGGCCTCGTGCAGGACCATCCACACTTTTTGAAGGGATGAATACAGAGACCTGGTGCACCGAATGCCACAAGGTTCCCAAAACCTCCGCAGGTTTTGAATTCAGAGTTGTCCTTCTTCTAGACCAGTTGCCATCCAAGGCTATAGAACCCAGTCTGTCCTGCTATTTTACCCATAGCTGGAGGGAGAGGAAGAGGATTCATACCTTTCCCAAGGGTATTTAGCACGTAAGTGAATGTAATGGATTCAACTGGAATTTGAACTCGGCTCTGTGATTCCTCAATCCAAGCCATGTATATATATGTATCCATATATGTATATATATATATATGCATATATATATACATATATATATATATATATATATATATATATATTTTTTTTTTATAACATACAACAATGCATGGAATACCCTGAACTTCATTTAAATAGGGGTGATAAATATATATGGTGGCTATGGGGGATATATACCCCAGGCGCCACCAGCAGCATTTGCCACCAGGCATATGAAAAAAAAAAAAAAATAATTGATCGTTTTTCTTTTGCAAATTCTTAATGAAATAAATATTTCTGAAAATTGTTCCTATTTGCAGCTTGAAAAAAAAAAAACAAAAAAGTTCCTGAAGTGGATTTTAAACCGTTATTTATTTTAAAAAAAAAATTTTAAAAAATAATACAAATATTTCTAATTTAGTATGTTAGGTTTTGATGATATGCATAATATTTCACTAATGTTTGTTCTGTTAACTTTTATTTTTAAATTTGTAAATCGATTTTTTTTTTTTTCCTCTTTATATATATTTCCATTATTCGGTTCAAATTACTCCAAAGCAAATATTGTATTTATTCTATTGAAAAAGGAACTGATCAATTCCAAAAGCAATACCAATGTTATTTTCATGGATTGGAATTGTTATTAAGGAAAAAAAGTCTTTTTCAAGATTAGTCCAAAACAGTCTTCCAGTTACCTTATGGGCCATGAATATTCTTGGATGGTCTATTAGACCGAAACGTCCGACGTTGACATTAAACGTTAAAACAGCATATGGGTGTATTCAGGATTTTTTGTTTGATTTACATTCTCCAATAGGAGAATTACGTTGTTTGCACCAGCGTGCCTATATATCGGTAAATAGCGTATATAAACCGTTGAATCTTTTTCGCAATCTCCAAATTAACGGGTCCATGTACTAGGTCGTTTCCATTAAAATCAGTCTGATGGGTGATATATTTCGATTTATAATTTACAGTCACCCAGAGGGCATTTTAAATCTTCTTGTATTCTAAAATGCTTTAATGTTTAATTCTTGTCTTTCCAAGATGTCCTCCACCTTAAATTAGAGGGTCCTTTGTCTTTCTTAAACACATATATATATATTATATACATAAATATAATCATATCAAGCCAAATATAATAATTGAAACAACAAAGAATAATTTCAGGAAAATATTTTAACACTTCAGTTTAGAAATTTCAGTAATTAAATATCAAATATTGAAATGTAAGAAATTGTCTATGAAGGTTTTTTGAAAAAACTAAAGATCACTTACCAGAAATATGAATTTCAAAGGCTTAAGAACTGTTTTTTTCAATGTTGAACAATGAAATGTTTTCAAATTGATAATTCAGTAACAAGCCAATTCTTTTTTATTTCAGATAAATGTACAATTTAATTAAAAAAGGAACTCAAATCAGAGGAGATGAATATTTGTATTTTTTTATGAAATAAATTATAACTAAATGGATTTTAAAAAGATCATCTGATGATTCTAAATTTTTTATTTGATCTTATTATTAGATTAAATCTAGATAAAACCAGATGATTTCTAGTTTGATATTTTGAAGAAAAGGCAATCTTACCTGAAAAATGAAATTTTTTTTTTTTAATGAATTTTCTTGGCTTCAAACAAAACAGTTCCTATGACCATTCTGAAGATTCCAGAACAATTTCTTTAAACAATTTTTTGTTTTTCTCATGCAAGAAAAACCTTACATTATACCAATCATGAACTTAATTTTTTCAAGCGCCAAATCATGACTTGAATGCTACAATTCATGGTAATTATGAATTTCACAGGAATTAAAAATTTTCTATCAAAAATAATTCAATTTAACATATGTTCATTTTGAATCTGATAACATTTTGGGGAAACAGCAGATCAATGCTATACAAACATTAGAGATTAGTAAAAAAAATTTCTGATTTGATTAACAGTTAATCAAATTGTAATTCCCTATTTATTAATAAATATTAAAAATTTTAAACACACACACACAAGATTGTTGGCTGTTTAATTGACATATTTCATATAAAAAAGGGAATAAATAAATTAAAATATTATAGTATTAGATATAAAGTAAAAAGCTCCCATCTTTTTTTGTTTCAGGTATTAATACATCAGAGAAAAGAATAAGTACTGTGGCCAAATCGCAGGGAAAATATAAGACTCTAAAAGAAGACAACATTCTGTAGCTGTGAGAGAATTAACAAATGACAAAAGATAGCACCAGTGAAAATATCACAAATTTTGTTTGAAATCTTTTCTATCCAATTTAAGAATAATAATTAAAGAAATTTTCTTTTATTTGCATTGCATTTGATATAGATGTAGGAAAAAATTATTCTACAGGTAATTCTAAATTGAACAAAATGAAAACACCATGGAACAACTAGAAATGAATCAATATTGAGTACATGAGCATTTAGTTCGTACAAACAAACATGGCTGATACCATAGAACAGACAAAATTCAAGTTTGGGTGCCAAATCAAATGAGTGAGGAGCACACATTCCAGTACAAAGTCATTTCATTTCATTTTCTGGAATGGTATTATGGAGTTGTTGAGGATTTTTCTGGGACAAATTAAAATTCAAAGTTCAGCAATCCGTGTCAAAATTGATAGCAACTGTGTTCTTGGATGCAATATTGTGTTTCTGGTAGACTTCATTCCATGATGATGAGAAAGATAAGGCTATCACATATTGTGAAACATGAGACACAATGAGGGAAACTGTTCATTGAATTTTCTTAAAGATGCAATTCCATTGTATAACAGTGCCTCCTGACACATCAAACCAACAAAAATGTAGCTCTATGCAAATATGGTCAGGATATTTTACCACATCTGCCACATAGTCTTGATTAAG